CCTTATTCTACTACTGCTTCTATTTCTTCTTCTTTTTCTTTCTATACTTCTGTTCACTAAATAAAAAAAATAAAAAAAAAAAAAAAATGCAAAAGGATTCTCGCCGTTTGTCCAAGAGTGAATTTATACTCTTGCGCAACACACTGCGCGCCGCAGTCCGTACGATTTTTATTGCGTGCGTATTGGTGTTACCGTTCGTGTACCTGCGATTTTATTGCGTGTATTTTCTCTTATAAATCCTTCCTCGGACTTTTGGGGTTGCTCGTCCGAACGAGCTGGAAGAAGAGGATAAAGACTATTTTCCTACAACCCTTTCGTTTGCGTATACTCCAACTGAGGAATGGTGGTAGGGGTGGGACGAGGGGGAAATCTATTTCGAACTACGAGAACTTCTTCTCTTTCTAATTTCGTTTCTTCAAACTGATTTCAACGAACTCCTCGTAGTAGTCGTCGTCTCTCTCTCTCTCTTGTTCTAAGAACAACTATGATAGAAAATTAAAATAAAGAAATAATTTAAAACAAATTTTTTTCTTGTAAATTTCTTAACTTTAGGATCAGAAATTGCTTGAATTTTATCAAAGAATTAATGAAGTTTTCTTCCTCTTTCTTTTTCTCGATCAAAGTACAACGTTACAACATTGAAATGCAGGATTTTTATTGCCGAAATTATATAGTTCAATGCTCTTATACGATTTGTTTATAATTTAAGGATGATTTTTTTGAATTTACAATTTTCGTTATTTGTTTAATCCAATTTAATGAAAAATTAGATAAGATAGAATGATTGTTTTTTTTCTTGCGGACAAATTTAAGGATTTGTATGAGTTTGTATTGGACGTAGAATTGTTCTGGGCTTAATTGTGTCTCCCTAACGTCTTTTGTACACGTGCAACGTTTCTCTTACAGACAAACAAAAGTAGATTGACTTTCAAGAGAAAATTCTATTCTCTTGCAGTACTCCTAACATATACATATACATACATACACTCAAGAAGAACAGCAGAAACAAGCCAACGGCAATTTCGAGAGGATTCCGCGTTCGCGACTGGCCGCTTCCGGTTTCGCTTTCCACTCCAACCGTCTCCAGTTTAAGTGACTCGACCAATCCGCGGTTAGTTTGTGCAAGTTGGAAAATGTGGCCACTAGAGGAAACTACGTTCAAGGAAGACAAAGAGAAAGGAAGAGAGAGAAAGAGAAAGAGAAAGAGAAACAGAAAATACAGATATACTCAACACACACACACACACATTTATACAAAATAGTATTTTCGAGCTAACGAGTAGGACGCTGTGTTGGCTTCTGATGCGCAGCATTAACGAGGATACTCTTCCTTTATTTCTACTATTAACAAAGTAAATATAAAATTACATGACCAACTAGACAATATGTACAATTACCTTTGCATCTACACATCTCTGATAAATTGAAGTAAAAAAAGAGGAAACAGATACAATTTCGATAAGATTTGTTTTAGTAAATGAAAAGAACAAATAATTATAATATTAGCTTAATCCTTATATGCGATTTTATTAAAATTCACAAACGTTTTACAATAATCTTAACAATTATTTTAAATTAAATCACATATATATACAAACAATTCAAAAATATAACAAACGATCTTTAATTAAAATAATCAGCAGAGCTTAATATTAAAAGATAAATAAGATTAACATAAGCAACAATGATTTTTCTTTGAAATAAATGACAAAATTTGATGGAAATCCTATAGCAGTGTTTAAATCGTCCCCATCTCCTAGATCGATTCTACCAGTCAGGGACTGGTCGAGATATCGAATAAGCAAAGTTCCTATGGGTCCTGTCGCGTATCGATCCAAATTCCGATTCAATTTTCCACGCCCCCAACGAACGCGCTTCGAACGGCATGCATTAAACATCGTGCATCGCGCATACCGCGTTACTAATCCACGGACGGTTATAAACGCGCACCGGCAAACGCCTCTACAAGCTACGCGAGCTTAAAATCGAGCATCGCCGAAGACATACCCCTCCTCTTCCTCCTAACTCAAACCCCTTTATCCCCCGCTTTTACCCTCTTCCTATTCCTATTGCATCTCGGATGCCCTTCTTTCGTCTACGTTGCGTCTGACGATCGAATTGTTGTCGCGACCAAACTCGAATATCATCCCCACTTTGAATAATTTAATAGAACAGTATGACTGAACTGAAACAATGTTCTCTTTCCAAATACTAGATTTAGAATTATTTGTACATTCGGTTAAATTACAGTTCTATTTCGTACAATACATTCACAAACTAGACTCAGAACTTTTCAGTCCTCCTCTAAATATTATAGACACGATACACATTTCTATTATATATAAGTATTATTTATATTTGTTTCCTGTGTAAGTATGAAGAAATTTAGACGCGATCTTTCAAAAATTATGACAATAATTTGCACCCCTCTGCATGATAGACTCTAAACTTTTCAGCCCTTTCGTTGTCGCGATCAAATTCGAGTATCCCCGCTAGAAATAATTTGATAGAACAGTTTGACTGAATTAAAACAATGTTCTCGTTCCAAATGCTAGATTTAGAATCACTTGTACATTAGGTCAAATTAGGAACATAGGAGAGGGAACGCATGCGGGCCCTTTTCTATTTTTTTTTTCTGGATGATGCGTGATCAGCTCTCTATTATTAAGTGTAATGGATCCGGAAAACTTTCATTAACTTACCCGATATCTAATTCATGAGGAAACCGATGCGATTACCGTATAATCTGTGGCTTCATTGATTGGATTATTTTGATGAAAGATGATTGAACAGTACGTAGAGTAATTTGTTGTTTTCGAATTTGGACCTCTTTGTTTTAGATTAAATTAAATATAATGTATGGTTTACTGTAGGCAAGGAAATGTTGATTTGTAATTAAGAGTTATTTAAAAACGATAAGGAACGTTTAAATTTCCTACTACACTTGCCATCTGACGGAAATTCATAGAGATTTGTTTCTAGTTTGTAAAATTGCCGATACGCGGCGTTACATTCATATTCTATACGTAATTATCGACGTTGTCAAGATTGTCATTTATCGACCGAGTAATTGTTTCCAGTTTACCCAGGAAATTTGAATGAGTTATTCTCTTTTGAGAGTCACGGGTAAAATTTGATTATTGATTGAACGCACACGTCTCTCGTTAATAGGGTAGACGATCGTGAAAGGTAAGAGGTCATAGGTCAATTATTACTTTAACGATCATTATCGAGAGATAATAAATTTAAACAAATTACCTAGGCGTTCTTCAACTCGAAAGAATCTTTTACAAAAGCGTTTCTCCTTAAGGAAATTCTTGTCAGTCTTTTTTTACTACTTGAATTCTTTTCTTTTTTCTCTTTCTCTCTCTTTCTCTCTTTCTCTCTTTCTTTCTATCTTCCTTTTCGAATTGGATACACGAGACAATTATCTGTAAGATGTTACCTACAATGTATGAGACTCCTTCATTATCCTCGTCGAGTCCGCTGCCGGGTTCGTCACGAAGGAGCATTTTCGCGAGCTCGCGTGTACGCCGTCAAGTTTTTGTTCGGCGTTACACGAGAAACAGATTTGCTAAATGATCGGACGATGGAATAAGTGTTTGCATGCATGCACGCATGCGTACTAGTTGCGTCAGAGTATTCGAGTCATTATCATCTATACGTCATGTTTCCTATTTATTCCTGATTTTTAGATTTTTAGTTCAGGAAGAAAAGTCTTTCGAAAGAAAATTTCATCGACCTTACGACTCGAAAAATTCAGCGATGTTCGCGTGCGAGATGGAAAACGGTAGCTAAGCTCGTAAACGTCACGTTACGTGACCCAAACGATTGCAACTAACTCATGTTCGTAATATATTGAAAGTCTTTTCTTCGACGTTTTGGCCGATCTACACAAAAAACTTAAAAAAAAAAAAGAAAACTTTCAAAGTTGTTAAATATAAAATAAATTATTCGACGAAACTAAAATTATCTTTCCGTGATTAGTCGAATCTATACGATACATCGGCAAGTGATTTCGAAATTATCGCTTTGCATAATTTTTTTATTCTGATTTATCTTACTGTTAGTTTAATAAAAACAATTCTGCTAGTTACTAATATCTAACTAATACGACTTTATGAAGTTAAGAAAAAAGCATGACCGTTGAACTCATCGTAATCAAACTACAATCTCCTGTTTTCCTATAATAATTTTTGATATTAACATTAAATACAATTTATTAACATACAAAGAAATATATTTTTATATTACAATAAGTAAAAATATTCCCGATTACATCATTATTTAAGAGAGAGTTTAGGGGTATTGTTTTCATGGACTCTAACACCCAATCCCTTGGGGTGAACATAAATAGATAACACGAAAAATAAATATGGAAAAAACATTTAAGTTTTCGTATTTTGTTTGTATGCATATATACATAATGAAACAGTTTTTATTACCAATAATCTAGTTATATTTTACAGATTCATTACTTTACATAGTCATTACTATCACAAAAGCAAACTTTATACGAAAAAAAGGTATTTTCTTTTCGTTTTTGTGCCTAATTAACCGAAAAATCATAAGATAAATTTTAGGACAAGGAACGAAAATTTTTTTTTAAAGTCGTGTAATTATCACGTTAAAATTTAATTATTTCACTAATTCATTCATTTGTAATTTTATTTTGCTTTGAATTATTTTATAAAGAATTCAACAAAATTTTGTTTATTAAATGTAAACACACACACATTCTCAGATTTTATATAAATTTATAATAATCTTAAGATTATTTTAACACTAAACCTACCGACATTTCATGTAATCCTATCATAAGTGGTCAAATGACCGCTTTAAAAAATCATACGTATTTTAATATTGAAAGAAATTTTAGCCAATTCGATATTAAACAAAATATTTTTCTTGTGCTACAAAGACACTCGCTCGTCGTTTTTCTTTTTAAAATTTTTTATTTATGCATTTTTTGCATATTTTTTACAAATTACAGCATTTTGTATTACATATTGTCTGCATACGTATTTTTTACATTTTATACCAATTTTGTTAGTCTTATTGACTTTACAATGTCTTAAATGACAAAATTTCCGTCCAGAAGAATTAGTAGCTGTATTTATTATTGTTTTTGTTGAACATTCTTTGCTTATCTGTTTCTCCTTCTGATAGTCAGTCCCTAGCTCTTCTGCTAATTGAAATAAAAATTTTTGCCTTGATATATCTTTACCCGTTGCTACTTTATATAAAATCCAAGCATTTATCACGGCTAAATCTAAGATATTGAAAAATATCTGTAAAGACTACCTAGGACTTTTAGATTTTACACTATATTTTCTGGCCATTTGATCGGTTACATCTACACCGAATTTTGTTAAACTTTCAAAGCTAACTATAAATCTCTTTCTTTTTTGTCCACTTCGTATATTCAAAATATTCTTTTCGTCTGAATCGTTGTCAAATAAGTCACAATTATTTTCTACTATATCAATATCAATATCGGAAACTTCTTGATCATTTTCCGAACGAACCTCATTGATATTATTTATTTTGTCTAATAAATTGATATTCCTTGAATGTCTTGACATTTTTGGGGATAAATATACAAATGATAAAGTAAAAACTAAAATATAAAAATATAAATCAAACAGGGCAGAAACATTGAGATCAGAAATAAAAATAAAATAATTGTAAATCATACCACACAAAATATGGTTAAATATTGTAATCATTTTTATTATACACTGTAAAATTTTAATGTTTATTGTTCGGATCGCAAGACCGTATTGTCGTACAAAGATCGCTATGCATTTGTGTTCCGTCATTTATTAGAACACCTAAAGTATTTATCGCAACAGAAAATTTTTATCGTATTCACAAAAAGAAAGATACTAGAGATAAGGTTTTACAAAAAATAAAGAATATTATTGTAGGAGCACATTGTTTGACTCCGTCAACAAAAATAAGAAGATTATTAATAGCTACCTAGCTATCGCGTTCGGTATTCTTTTCGCGATTCCTAGAATTCAGAGAATCATATGTTTTTCAGCTACTCCCACTCCAATTTGTTCTAATCGCTCGATTGTCCTCATTGTAGATCCACAATTACATTGTAGACTCGTAAATCAATTTCAGAGAAGTGTTTTCCGAAGAATATAGTCGCAAATACCATAAATTTCAAAAACAGTCATTTGATCGTGCATGGTAAGTTTAGTGTTAAAAAGTTTTAAACTTATCGTTAATACTTATCTTAAGTAAGATAAACATAAATTACAATTACGTATTATTATTGTATATAGCAGTGCCGACACAAGGTAGAAAACACCGATTTTGATAAACATTTTACAGAATGATACCAATAACAGATGCCAGTCATTTTTTTAGTAGCGATAATTCAGTTTAAAGGAGTGACAAAAATCATCAAAGTTCAGTGTAATATTCCATAAAGTCCTTATATTCTGGAAACTACTTTAGATAAAAACATCCATACGGTTTCAGTGAAATCCACTTTTTAGAAAAATTAAACTACGTCAATAGTTTTTTGCAAAAGTCATACATGATTACAGATTTTGTACTTTGATTGAATTTTCTGCCACTTGAAAGCGAAAAAAATATTATAGTAACAGCATATGTAAATAAATAATTCCTCGTTGTAAAATTTAAGTGTAGGATTTGAATGTGTATTCAGGCTATGCAAAATGTTTGAAACCAGCTTCGCAAAAGGTCACATCGACCCTGATACAGAGATATGAAAGAAAACAAAAAATGGAGATAAATATAATCATTAAATTTTCAAGTGTGTGCTATTTGCACAACAGATTACTTTAACTGTCAGTTACTCACTAGTCTATTGTTGGGAAACATCATAAAGTTTATTATAACGAGAAATAATATTTTTGACACAAAATCTGATTATTCTAACCGTAAAACGAATCAAATTAAAAAGTTCCCTTCATCGATTAAGGTAAATGTCATCAATGTAATTGAAAAATATTTTAGTGAACTAAAAACTGCATTTAACCCTTTCCTTCTGCCACAGCTAACAGTGTGTATATTTTCTTTGGCATGGTTTCATTATGCGGTGCATAGTTACAAAATTAACGGATATATTAATAGTTAACTTTTCCAGAAATTTTTAATTCTAATTACGTAATATTTTTTATGAATATAAAAATCCTTGATCAAGATATGCAATTATGATAACCATTACTGAAGGTACTGATTAATGTAAAACATCCCTTGCGAGGATGCCAACTATAGGCAGCGATAGGAATGAAAGGGCTAAATATCAACATAATTAATTTCTTTTAACATATTATTTGATTTAAAAGTTTACTTTTTCTTTTCACCAGATTAATTTTCTTCGTCGTAATTATGGCACTTGTTACTGACTGTTGGTTTATTGACGTCACTATTATGTTTTTAATATTTATGATAATAGTTTATCTCTACGCAACGAGAAGATTTAATTACTGGAAAAATCGCAACGTAATGGAAATACCACCAATTCCATTTTTAGGAAACTTTGCCGATTGTTTTTTCTTACGAAAATGTCCTGGTGAATTTATTATGTATTTGCATAGCCAATCAGCTGGATTACCATTCATGGGATTTTATGTTTTCGATAAGCCTTTCTTTTTGGTCCGTGATCCGGAACTTATTAAACACGTTCTTGTGAAGGATTTCGATTATTTTTCTGACAAATACTCTAGGACAGATATCAAAGACCGTCTAGGTTGGACTAATCTGTTTATGATTAAAAATCCAGCGTGGAAGATTTTAAGGTCGAAGTTAACGCCAATATTTACCAGCGGGAGACTGAAAAATATGTTCAATTTAATGCTGATCGTTGGAGATGATCTCGATACTTATTTGGAATCCTTGTCTTTGGAAGGTAAAGAACTCTGAATGAAAAGAAATAATTAGCATTTATTTTGGTTCGTTTGATTTTGTTTAAAGGGAAAGGTAAGACGTTGGATATAAAAGATCTGTGCGCCAAATTCACGACGGATTTAATCGGCATCACTGCTTACGGTTTGAAAGTGAACTCATTGAACGACCCTAACGCCGAATTTCGAAGATGCGGAAAAAAGATTTTTGATTTCACCTGGTATCGCGGTTTTGAAATTCTCACCATGTTTTTTATACCATCGTTAATCAAATTAGTTAGGGCTGATTTTTTCGGTAAAAATAGCAGTGATTTTCTTCGGAAAACTTTTTGGGAGAACGTTGATCACAGACTGCAATCCGGAATAAAGAAACACGATTTGGTCGATCTTCTTATCGAATTGAAGCAAAATCACGAGGGTCAAGAGTTCGACGGATTTAGTAGGTTTCTAGTTTAATGAATATTTTGAAATGAATTATATTATTTATTCAAATGATACCTTATTTTTGGTTATGTATATAGAATTCGACGGAGACGATTTGGTAGCGCAAGCTGCAGTTTTTTTCACCGGTGGTTTCGAGACGTCGTCCACGACCTTAGCGTTATCTTTGTTCGAGTTAGCCCTTAATCCAGAAATTCAAAATAAACTTAGAAAAGAAATTACGGATGCACTCGACCAAAATGATAATAAAGTTACTTACGAAATGGTGAATAATTATATAATTATTGAAACTTTATTAATAATTATTTATCTAATTTGAATTTAATCGCAAATAATTAGGTTACGAATTTATCTTATCTTCACATGGTCGTATCAGAGACTTTACGAAAATATCCAGTATTTCCGTTTATTGAAAGAATTACTGGTAAAGATTACAAAGTGCCAGGTCATGATTTAGTCTTAGAAAAAGGAACACCAGTTTATATTTCTTCTATGGGATTGCAATACGAATCTCAATATTTTCCTGAACCGAACAAATATGATCCAGAAAGGTTCAATGATGAGAATAGGAAAAATTTGACACCTTACACTTATCTGCCATTTGGTGAAGGTCCTCACATGTGCATCGGTATGTACACATTTAATCGAGCGATTTTAACTTGTTTTAAATATTTTTCTTGTTTACAGGATTAAGATTAGGACTGCTTGAATCAAAATATGGTCTAATTCAGATTTTAAGGAAATACCAAGCTACTCCGTGCAAGAAAACTGTTTCTCCTATGCGTTTAGATCCCAGAGGATTGACATTAACTGCATTGAATGGAGTTTACTTAAACTTGAGTAAACTTGCAACGTCCAATTAACGATGAATTTTTTAAAATTCAAATTATCACTTTTAAACTCATATGATACAAATACTGATATTCTTAAACGGATAAAACCGACAAGATATTTATCACCATATAATTCTAAGAAAAAGTGTTAATCCTTGCGATGATTAATATTCTATATCTCTAATGTAAATCAAATAATGAAAATTATTAATAATAGTTTTGATACATCTTCAAAACGTTATTCCTCGTATAAATTAAATTTTTTTGTTCGAGACACTAAATGTAAATGAATTCGAATTTTAATATATTTCTTTTTATAGCTCTTCCTTGTAAGGTATTAATAAATGCATTTCACAATGAGACAATAAATACAAGCAGATATTAATTTTTCTTCTGAATATTTTAAATATGTCGTAAACAATGACAAATTTGGCATAAGTAAAGCAATCAAATAAAACGAACATATAAATATTAACAACTCAATTTAAACAACATCAAGAAAATTATCTTATGATAACATTGAAATTAAAAATAACTGCCAAAACACCATTTCGAGAAAATAGATAAGTTTTTATAGAAATGATAATCGCTCTTATTTTATCGCAATTATTATTATATAGATATATATAGACAAACTACTTTAATATTTATATAAGATAAATAAGTATTAATTAGGATCAATTTCAGACCGAATAGACATCATTATTTCTTTTGATATCTTGATTTGTAATTTAACATGAGAATTTTTCTCAAATCTAATAACATGTTGAAAGTACGCAAAAAAAGAAAATTACAAGATACTTTTGAAGAGAGACAACACGCATACGATTAAACAAGTAGAAAAATAACAATAAATTCGGTTAATCAACTGACAAATACTTTCAGGGACTCGTGCTATGGATAACAAATATTGCGAGATTATTTTTAT